ACATCGTACAGTATTTTTACAGTCTTTATTTTACAGTTAAAATATGTGTTTATTAAATAAAGTCTAATGTTACAACTAATCGGGGATCCCTTTAAGAAACATCCGATTCTTCTCAACAGTCTGGGTTGTTAGCCATTTTAGCAACACTCTCTTCACATTCAGACATTCCCCTTTGACATCACTTCCTGTCACTTCACAGGCAAATATCCTCAACAACTGTTCATCTCAGCGACATGAAATTTATTTTGCAACAGTATTTTATCGATGTCCTCTTTCTAAAAATGCATTCATATGTGTTACAAAATTTGACGTCACAGGCACTTTAATGTCACTCCTGTGTTGCGTCACAGTGAAACACAGCAGTGATGTATCCAAACTTAAATATCAAAGATGATCATCAACATTTCTGTTGTCTCTTCCTTAAAATTTCTGCAGAATGGCCAAAACAGCGTCATCCCAGACATGTTGAATTCAAGAGACTTGAATGTGATAACTAGATTTGCAAACACAATATATGGTGATGAGTTTTCTCCTCTGCTGTGACACTTTGTCCTGAGTGCCACGTCCCCATCCATTTATGCCTCAATATATTTAGCTCCTGGATTTATTTATTATTTTATTTGTCAGAATCTTGTCGTCTTCTGTTGTTCCTGGGATCTGCTCCTGATCTGTCCTGTCGGTTTAAAGAGTTTAGTCTCCACCATCAGTCTGCCTGTTCCCTTGCCTGCAGGGGAGTCGCCTTTTCCTGCAACCGTGACAGAAATTAAATCAGCTAGAGGTATTTTAGAAAGAATTAAATAAAAAAAAAAAACAGTCAAAAAGCCTTTGTGCTTTCTATACATTATTCAGTGAAAACAAACAAAAAAAAAACAATTTAAACTTTAATAATAGAACATTATTGATAAGGGTTTTGGTGTAGCCATGAAATTAGTGGCTTAAAAGCACCACTAGAAGTGCTGCTTAACATTTTTCCAGTAAAAGTGGTGCCTCTGCCAGGCGTTTTAACACTAATGCTCAGGCCACCTTTGACCCTGCTTACTGACAGAGCAAGAAGATCATCTTTAAAGATCCGGAGCAAAGTTGTAGAAATTTCCTGGCAGACTCAAGAAGGTGTAAGATTGAACAAGCGCTGAGGTAAAACAAGAGGTGGAGGTGGCAGAGTACAGAAAGGGTGCACAGCTGGCAGACTTCCAAACCTGAAGGAGTGCATCAGTGGAGTGGAAGGATGGCAACAGGCTAACTGAAAGAGAAATCGCTGGATGAAAGCAGGGACGTGTAAATTCAGAGGAAAATAGTGCTGCGTTTGATTACAAACTTGGAATTTTGACTTTGGTTTTTGAAAAAACAAAACAAAACAAAGAAAATGCAAGCAGAAGTCAGATTTTCCTTTTAGGACCTCAGCTAAGATTGGTCAACTTCAACGAATTTACCAAAAAGCCAGTTTAACAAAAAAAAAATGTTTTTTTCTTTTTAAACTTTATTACTGTGGAGGACTGAAATTGGCATAATTATGAATAAAAGCAGAAATATATAACTGGACCAATAAATAAACACACTTAAAATACACCAATTAAATTAAAAAAGGTCAACTTTACCTCATATTTCATAACTTCATTGACCTTCATATTTACAGCTATAATTTTTAGCACATAGTTTACATTTTTACAATTTTTTTAAATTTGTTTTTCCTATAACTTGTACCTTTAAATGTTTATATTTAACTTTTTTTGTAATTTTTCCCGCAAATCTTTATTTCCATGTGTTCCTTTTACATTTCTAGCCGTTTTTACTTAACCTTCTGCATTTCTGCCTCATTATGTAATAAGGTGGGCGGAGCTTCTTGAGTCAACTCTTCTCCTATTGGTCAACAGACAGGAAGGAGCAGGATCCCTGTGCAGATCTACTCTGCATGCAGCTGCCTCAGTTTAGTTTCAAGTTTAGTTTAAAACAAAGTAACAAGTGTTTTCCCTCTTGCCTTTTGTTTTTAACTAAACTTTAAGCTGGAAAAATAAATATGTCAACATTTTAGGTTTAATTATTTATTTGTTGGTCCATTTATATATTTCTGATTTTATTTCTAATTATGTGAGATTCGGTCCTCCATATATGACTGCTAGGAATATTAACAAAACAAACAGAAAAGCCATCCCAAAGGGAGCCATATTTGTTTTGTCACCTTTTCCATCAAATGCACAGAGGCAGGAAATGACCCAGATATCTGACTTCACACTTGTGATGACATCAAACACAGCAGTATTTTGACAGCTTGGAAAAGTGGATGTGGGAAATGTGTCAGACCTGCAGGAATGGCTCATAATAACGGTCGAAAACTGAAAAAGACCCAATCCTCTTGAAAGAAGTCGCGCTTTAGCTTCACTAAAGCCAAATTTTATAGTAAACGTTCTCATCACCGTTATTACAGCAGCTCCTTTAGCAGTATTTCCTCAAGCATGATTTTATCGTGAAGAATGTCCAAATTTTCACTTCATCTTTGCTTTACTTTTAACTCGTATTTCACAAAGCATTGCTCAGACAGAAATGTTTACTAAAACATTTGACTGTAAATCATTTATTGCTCGGTCAGAGTTGTTTACCTGACGTTAGCCAGAGGCCCAGTGCTCTCAAAGTTGATCCTGGCCTCTGGCTCATCGCTGGAGGACTTGCGCGTGTCGGAGTGCGAGGACACGCTGTTGAAGCGGACCTTGTAGCTCCTGTGTGAGGCGAAAAATCACATGAACGGGGCAGATTTTATAACTCCAAAGAATAAACAGCGTTGAAAAATGTGACCCATCATACCGAAATGAGGATTAAGTCAAATTTGGTCAAAATGACCTAATTACATTTTCARATTCTTGGCTTTAAAAGCTACATTTTGATACCTGGATCATTCTGATATCATAATTAAATCCATATATAGGACTTAATTTGTCTTATTGGTTACAATAATACATAAATATTTGGTCTGAATTCTAATTTTATGTCATTTTAATGAGGAATTTTTTATGTCCTTATAAAGAGGAAACCTCAAATTATATTTGAATATTGAGATTTCCCAGCTGAAAAAAGAAACAAAACATTGCTAGCTCACAGGGAAAATCTCAAAATTTTAAGGCGTTTTGCCTCAAAATCAGGTTTTTTGTTGCTACTGCTCAAAAAAATGCTTCAAAATTTTGTTTTATGATTATATTTCAGATAGTTCATTCAAATGATACATTGATAATACATTTATTCATTATATTTTGACAAAATGCATTTTTTATTAACATTTTAGTCAAAACAATGTATTTGCCTTTTTCTCCATACACCACTTTTGGACTTAATCCTCGTTTCGATGTGATGGGTCACAAATACAACCTCTAGACTTCAGCTCACTTTCTGTCTTCTGTGTTGGAGGTTGGGTGGCGCATTTCCATTAAGGCAGCTCCAAATTTCTACATCAACACATGAGAAATGGTTAACAATCTCTGCTGTGATGAATAAACAAAACTTTAGGAATATTAGCTACGTACCTCTCCGTTTTCAGGTGGGTCTCCGTTGCCAAATGTGCTGGTCACCACTAAAACCAGCGTCTCGTGCTCCAAGTGCACCACATCGTACTCATCCATGGACATGACCTGCAGGGTGAAAAGACATCACTATGCAGCGAGACTCAAAGCCAAGGTCTGGTTTTTAGCACCCCTCCTCTCTGCGGACTCCCCACAACAGATGCCTCGAGCGTGTAAATTAAGGCCGAACACACAGCCCTTGGCAGAGGAGGAGGTTGTAATGACCACTCTGTCCTCGCCTCTAACGAGATGATAATCTGCTGCCGTCCGCGGTGCGTGTCTGCTACGAGTCGCGCTTGGCTGCACGCGTGCACAGGCGTTAAGAGAAAACTGGATTTAGCCGTGCAACAAGAAAGATTGCCCCCCCCCCCCCAGGCGTTGACTTCTGCCCTCCACTTACACACCCACACCCGGTGACACACGCTTTGCATGCATGAGCGTCTCCTTGTGATTGATCGCACAGGGAGGGTGGAAAAAAAAGAGGAAAGAAAATTAGGCTGCAACCTAGAGGGAAAGCATGGAGTGCATGACTGAGAACATCTTTTGCTTTTATTCCCTCCCCTTTTTTTGTGTTAACAGATTGGCACAGCCAGGGGTGCCTCAGGATGCTGTTTGAAACAAGTGCGCTGCTCAACGCTTCAATGGTTAAAATCTTGCTTCTGACCTGTGGCAGTTTACTGCAAGAAAACTTGATCTAAATTTTCTTCAATCCTTTCGTCATCTGTGCTCATCTGCCATCTGCACGATTTGAGCCGGGGAGGCGAGAGAGGAGGGCAAGTTTTTTGAATTTGTCTTTTTTTTTTCAATTAGATGCTGGTGAAATTATCACTGAAATATAAACTCTTGCTTGACTTTTGGCAACAATGATGCAAGGCAGGAGCAAGCATACCTTGGCGTCGAACGCATGCTTGAAGATTTCACACAGAGTCTTGGCGTATTCTTGGGATTTGCCCGTCTCTGTAGCAAACAGTATGGTGGCTTTTACCCTCTTGGCCATGGCTTGGCCCATGAGCTTTGCGGAGAACTTTACAGCCCTGTGGAGGTGATGAGAGGAAGGATGCGGTGAAAAGACCGACCAGGGGTCTTGAGTGATTTGAGGGCACAGTTTGCAATCTTTTTTGTCTCCCGCCACCATCACAAAACATTTGTTGTTGTACTGCTGCTGCAGGCAGCTACGGATGGATAACAGTTCTGATTACCTGGCTTGTAACATCCTTGGGGCAATTATATTATTAGCAGATCATACATGCACTCGAGTGAATGCATACACAGAAAAAAAACCACATTGACAGAACTCTGATTGCTCCCAGTGGGGTTGATTGGAAGGATTTCACTGCTGAGTACATCAGCTTACCTCTCGTGGGTTTGGCTTCTGTCAGAAAAGTGATTACTTGTTTAAATAAATACATACACTTTATTATCTTTAACATTTGGAAATGCGTTATACCCTTGGCTCCATGCACAAAGAAGACTAAAAGAAAAAGAATGATATTGAGCGTACTTGGCAAGCTTCTTGAATCCGATGGCTCTTTTCTTTGTCGGTGTCCCGTTGACTCCTTTCCACACATGGGTGTTCCAAGGATCGGGCTTTTGTACATGGAAACAGCAACAAAATGCTGATTAATTGAAGGCTACTCTTTCAGAAAAAATCTCATTTGTGGTTTTCGGGGCTTTCTTTTCAGACCGAAGCATTCGAATCTGAAACGTTGGCTCATAAATGACCAACTTGACTGCCCGTCCCTCTAACCTGGTACTCAAAGGATGGAGTGAGGTGGTAGTTGAGCATTTCCTGGTGAAAAACCGGCGTGATGCTCCCTGACATTGGAGGCACAATCCACACCCAGTCTCCGGGGCAGCCTCCTCTCACTCGATACTCATTTTCCATGTGCTTCATGAAGGACTCCGTGGCTGAGTGATGGTCAACTATGGTCACTTTGCAGGTCTGAAACAAGATTCACAAAGAGCCATTTGTATATAAAAATGTCACTTTGCAGCTAAAAGTACTGCATTCAGCAACTATTTAAACATTTTATCTTTATAAGAGTGTCCAATTTTAATGTATCTCAATATACCTTTGAAGTACAGCCTTTAAAATGTAACATTTTCTGTTATACAGACATATCCGAAGCATATTGTTGATAAAACTGCTCATAAAAATGTCACAATTTTCATAAAACATGCTGCAAATCCAATATGACTGTAGCCACTCATTTTGGCAGCCAATAAACAATAAAACTGTAAATGATGAAGCCACCTGGAAGCTGTAGAGAACAGCAATATTAATTTCCACCAGTGCCTGGTCTTTCCAAAGGGAAGACGTCTTCCTGGTGTCCAAGCCCATTTTTTCAGCAACATCCTACAAAAAAATGTAATAAATCGCAAAAGGGAAATGACTGTCTTGATTTAAAAAAATTAACTGAATCTAAGAGTTTAAAGTAATACAAAAAGTCTAAGAAAACATCTTTATATTAAATAAACTTTCATAACAGACGTGATTTTATCCATTTTGTCACATAACTGGCAAATTTTCTTTCAAACTTGGCTCGGCAAAAGGGAAACAGGAAGTGACATCAAAGGGGAACTCTTACTCCCTGGTCTTTATTTAATTAACTCTGACTCTTCTTCATCTCTCAAACATCAGATTCTTCTCTACAGTCTGTAGCTACATTTCCATTGACCACGAAAATGCGCAAATTAGAATTTCGAAAATAAATTTGCTCAATGGAAACACATCAATTTCGAAAAAAATTATGTTTTTTGACAAAAAGTGTTTACGCTAGGATGAGGTGGTATTTCGGCCGTATTGAAATTGTTTTTTTTTTTTTTGCAAAACTGCAATGGAAACACTTTTTTTGCATCATGGGAATCGCGTGATCAACAACCATCTGTTTCTACTGGCGAAAAAGACGACGACGAAGAAGATAACAGGAAGTAGAAATAGTAGCAATATCACAGAAGTAGTATAAAATAGTAAACTCACCGACTACAATTTCCCAAAAACACAGCATACATAACCACTCCCAAGTAGGGGCTTGTCTCTGGAAAGCCTTGATTAAAAGACGTCGACGTCTCATCTGATGAAGAGCGCTAGTGTCGTGGTAGCAACATGCTATGTGTTTACATCCATCGCCGCCATGTTTGTAATGACTTATCGCGAGAACAAGCGTATTCATGCTTGACTTTAATAGCATTTCTTACATAATGGAAACACCGCAGTTGCGAAGCTGTTTTTCGACATTAACAGAATATCGACAAAGTTTTGCGCACATTTGCAATGGAAACACAGCTAGTGATGTTAGCTGTTATAGCAACGCTCTTCACCTGCAAAAATACCCCTTTGACATCACTTCCTGTTACTTCACATACAAATATCTCTCAACTGTTCATCTCAGCAGTGTGATTTTTTTTCTGCAATATGTCATCAATAGTATCTTTCCAAAATGCGTTTATTTTTACTACAAAAATTTGATGTCACAGGCGCTTTAAGGATGTTTACTATAGAGAGAGAAATCTAGTACACAAGCCTATTCCTCCATCACTGCAAACAGTTTTTATACGTCAGTCATAAGATGAATCCATCAACGCTGGCACCCATGTGCCTTGAAGTGCTCTTCATAGTTGGACCCCTCTGGTTTAGTCTGAATCTTTTGGAAGGGAAACCCTCCGTCTCACTTGTCTGAACACTGTCATGTGACACATGCAAAAATAGCAATCAGTTTGCTCAGCATTTTCCTATTCTATATCACAAATTCAATTTACTGCAGAGGATTTGAAGATTTAAGTGTTTAAACTGAGATTTATCACACAGAGATTATTTCTCCACAAAACTTGTAAATCAACTTTCTCTCCAGCATGCGTGGCTAGGAGGAGGACAACGTTCTGAATGGATCCTTTGGTGACACAACACATGCTCCTCTTGTCACAAGGCTGCAGTCAATCTGTGCCTCCAACTCTTTCCTCTTTCCTTAGATGCAAAACATCCATTCGTTCTGGCACGAAACACTACCTCCAGAATGTTGTAGCGCGAGGTGTCACAGAAGTCCCTCACGCCGATCTCGGTGCCCATGTACCAGCCGCTGAAGGGGCATCCGGGGAACTCCAGACCACCAATCTCCAGCAGCATGTTGGAAACCGCTGGGAGACCGTACCACTTCAGTTCCAGGTCTTTAAACCATTCAAACCTGAGGAGAGGAGACACCCAGGCAAAAAAAATATACTAAAGTATATTTTAAATAGACTGCATTTTACAGAAATATATTTTAATATATTATCAATAAAATATACTTTTAATGATTATATTCAAAATGTAAAAAAGTTTATTTCAAAAACCATACTTCAGATATGTTATTTTAAAATATATTTCAAGTACACTTTATAAAAATATATTTTATTAAATACACTTTACATTTAATTTAAATATATTATTTAAACTATACTTTATATATTCTTTTTTAAATATACTTTATATGCCCAGGCAAAAAATACTATACTAAGTATACTAAATCTAAGTATACTTTAGTATACTTGAAGCTGCACTAATCATCAGTATACTTAAAGAGTGCTATTTTGGAACAACTAATTTAATACTAGTTGTATTTAAGTTGTACAAAAGCACAATTTTAAGTGTATTAAGTATACGTTTAAATGCTAAAATGGAACAACTTTAAATTTACTTATTACACTTTAAGTGTATAGACATGGATATACGCTTAAAGTGTACTAAGTATATTTAAATTTGTTCCATTTTAGTCTTTAAAAGTGTACTTAATACACTTAAAATTGTGCTTTTGTACAACTTGAATACCACTAAAGTATATTTAGTATCAAATTAGTTGTTTCAAAATAGCACTCTTTAAGTATACTGATGATTAGTGCGGCTTCAAGTATACTAAAAAGTATACTTAGATTTAGTATACTTAGTACAATATTTTTTCACCTGGGTAGCTATGTTAGATTATTCCAATCATCATTTTCCCCTCTGAGGACGGAAAATCAATCATTGCCAATTTAGCATTATGCTCTGACCATAGCATCTTTGGGAGATTGTGTAATTGCAGCAGAGTGCGGCCAAAGCTAACATTAGCACATAGAAATCCAGTTTTTAAGGCTTTTTAGTACTGGGCAGAGCAAGCTGGATCTGTTGCAACCTTCAGGGGGATTGATAACATTGCTTTCAGTGTGTTATTTGTTCAATCTTGTGTAATGATGAGACACTATGTGAAGCCAAAGCCCGTGCCAAGCGGCTGCTAGCGCCGGAGCCCAGCTGATGCAGGGCATGGGAGCTGGCAATTTTCGGGAGGGTCTGGCAGGGAGCTCTGCGTGTCAAGTGATTCTGCAAAAATCTCTCAAGCATGTAACCATGCTGTGATGCCTCGGACTGCATCTTCATGCCTGTTTAGAGCAGCAGTAAATTATTAACTGGGATTAAGAAGCTACAGTGACAAAGCAAAAAGCTGTATGGGATCTGTTCTTTGGCTTTCTTTCGACGACAACAGAAAAACAAGTTTTATCGTGGGAAGAGAAAACAAAACAATCAAAGCAGGAGGAAGCTTGAAATCTCACTAACAAGCCCCTTGGCTGCCATAAATGCTGGCATTTTAGGAGATAAAAGCAAAGTTGTGCTTTCTGAGAATAATCAGCTTGGATTGTGACAATAACCAAATCAGATTCCTTGGCAAGAAAGTTCTCCTTTGTTAAAGGAAGTGTTGTAAAAAGATGTGCAAGTGGGTGGATATCCTCAGTTTGTATTTCTCAACATTTTGTACGTTTTTAAAAGACGAAAGTACGACTCACTTCGGATGTGTGATTGGCACCTCCAGAACCAGGTCTTCAGGGATCTCAAACAGCTCCGGATCATTACCGTTGGCTTGCAGGAGAAGTGGAAGGACATCGAATCGACCCTTTGGAGCTTTCCATCCAAGCTGCATGCAGATCTAGTGACCAAAAGTGTCATATTTATTTAACAAAAATAGACCAGAGATTCTGCAGCTTCACTGATGTTAAAGATCTGGACCCTCGTGTACCTCTGTGAACTCTACGTTAGCAGGGTCTCCAAGGATGCTTCCGTCAGGCTGTTTGTAACCTGCGTAACGAATCAGCTGACTGTTCCACACACGAAAATCATGCCTCCCGTCTGTCCTTTGTGGAAATATAGTAATAGCTGACCTGGAACATGAAAAACACAACAGATAAAAATGTTAAGTTTCAGGATTTTTTAGAAAACACACCTTGGGATTTCACTGCAAACTTCAGACCAGCCAAACTCTGAGAGGTCTCTTTAACCTAACCTAACTTAACCTAACCTAACCTAACTTACAGTATACTGGGATTTAAGAATTGGAATCCGTACCAGATTAGTATCTAGTACTCTAAAAGTACATGATAACAGGACACTAAATACAGAATGAAACCAGAGTTACTACATGTGTAATAGGGCTGCCTTGATTAATCGACGACGAATCGATTATTAAAATAATCGATGACTAATTTAATAATCGATTAATCATTTTCTTTTCTTTTTTTTGTTCTTTATTTTGTTTTTCTCTCCAAACTGCTTTGACACCTTCCACTGCCACATCTGCCTTTCTGTCCTTGACACACATGCACAGTAGTGGTAACTGGGGTAGGCCGTGGACGTCACAAGACATTATACAGACAGGTTCTGGTATCATGGCTACCTGACAACAG